GCCCTCTGAACCCCATGCCTTGGAGGCGCTGGACGCGCTGGAGGCCGCCCCTGTCGCCTGTCAGAGGAAGGGTCTGAAGGCTTGGTTTAGGGTTTAGGGTTTAGGGTTTAGGGTTTAGGGTTTAGGGTTTAGGGTTTAGGGTTTAGGGTTTAGGGTTTAGGGTTTAGGGTTTAGGGTTTAGGGTTTGGGGTTTGGGGTTTGGGGTTTGGGGTTTAGGGTTTGGGGTTTGGGGTTGGGGTTTGGGGTTTAGGGTTTAGGGTTTAGGTTTGAAACCCCGTGGCAATTAGGGGGGTTTGGGGTTTGTAGGGTAAGGAGGGGGGGGGGGGGAATTCTGAACTTTTGGGATGTTAGGTCTGAGACCCCTCCTAACCCCTAAACCCCAAAAAACCCTAACCCTCAAGCCCCCACCCAAACCCAAAACCGGAAAAATTAAACCCTAAACCCTAAACCCTAACCCCTAAACCCTAACCCCTAAATCCTAACCCCTAACCTGCAGGACCATTCGTAAGTTAAAAGGTGTTGAACACAAAAAAACGAACATTTATATCCCACATTGAGAAAAATAACCAACATTGGGATTTTTAGTGATATGGTTGATGATGGAGGGTGGCCTGTGGTTTTGAGCCATCTCTTGGCCGACTCACAGCATAATGCAGCTGTTACAGGCGTGACCGTGACTCGTCGTCCAAATTCATCCATAGCACCATCGAGCATGATCAGTTGCAGGTGTTTGAGCAAAAAGAAAAAAAACAAAAAACACAATTAAGGGCTCCATTTCGGGGCTAGAGTACATGGAGCCCTTAATTATGACACCAGTCGAATTTAGATACAGGTACAGGGTGCATATCGTCTGTCTTCATGGTTTCTTGTTCAAGGAGGTTGGCTAGGAGGCTTCTTGAGTGTCTTGATATTGCCAGTATTCCGCATTTCCCAGAATAAAAAAAGGAGGGTTCATTTCCAGGTCGCATCTCAGTTGGGCCCGAACATTTGTACTTTTTGGGATAAGGTTTAGAGTCGGGGTTTGTCGGGGTTTGCCACCTCTACTCGAACACCCACTGCCCAAAACCCTCATTGTCAGAAAAACTGCCCTCACATCGAAATCACACAAAGCCACCATAAGAACCCTTATAGTCTAATTATATATATATAATCCCCTATATATATATAATCCCCTAACATCCTTCTACACCCAGCAACAGCAGCAGCTGCAGCAGCTGCCGCAGCTACCGATGGGACCCTCGGATGTTTTAGCAGGGCTGGTCAGGGAGTCGTACGCAACCTTGTTGACTGTACAAAACCGCTTGAGCACATTCAAGCTCGATGTCCTGAACGACATCTTGCGTTTCATTGCGATCACATGTTTAACCCAATCTTCGTCAACGAAGGTGGCGTCAAAATACGGATTCCTTTGTCGGCAACCAGCGGGATCAGGAGCAAGGTCGTCGATGATGTGAGTAAGAAAGTGGATCTTGGGGCGGGTCTTAAATAGCAACTCATTCGCCTCGAGGCTCTGAACTGCAAGCCCTAAGTAGGACCTGAGAAAGAGCTGTCCGGTGGTGTGCGCGGTCGCACGCTCCTGTTCCTCCAGAAAGATTGAGCTCCCAGCAAGGCAGGCGATGAATCTCTCGCACGCCCAAACACATACGACCAAGCCAGGATAGCTTCTCGGGGCCTGCTCCTGAAGCTTACTGGCAAGGAAACGCAAACAAACAGCCGCGTCAGCACCTTTGCACCGAATTTCTGGGCAACAGTCCGATCTCCAAAGCAAAGTTTTTCGATGAATTCGTCTGAGGCTGAGTTGCAGCCCTTGTGCCTTTACCCATTTCTTGAGTTCCGAGGTAAGCTGGGACAATCGTTTCGCAATAGTTCGACCATTGTAAAATTCTCCTCTTGAGCGGCAAAGCAGCTTGAAGGCTGTCCCTACAAGGTCCCGAAGGACACCCAAATGCAGGACGTGAAGCATATCCAGGGAAACCAATTTTTCTGAGAAACTGTGGAGATTGCCTGCCGATGGAAATGTACTCCACATTGGCCCCACAACGTCGAGACGCCATCTTGCATGGGCACTGATGTCGGTGTAGCAATACTGCAAATCGTGGTTTCCTTTTGTTGCCGGACAGCGAAAACAAACCTGCAGAGAAGTGCAGATCGAGCATTTCGCTTTTCCAAGTGGCTAAACGGCATTTGCGGGTTTAGCATAAGATGTGGGGTATAGAGGGTTTAGGGCTTATAAGGGCTTGGGGTTTAGGGTTTATAAGGTTTAAGGGTTTAAGGGTTTAAGGGTTTTCGAGTTTTAGCGTTTTAGGGTTTTAGGGTTTTGGGGTTTTAGGGTTTTAGGGTTTAGGGTTTAGGCCTCATCGGGTTCAGGGTTTAAGGTTTATACGGTTTAGGGTTTCCAGTTTAGGGACAAACCCACCTCTTCTTTCCCAGCGTGCCTCACGAGGTTAAGCGACTGCACCAAGTACTTCAAGTCGCCCTTGAAGCTGACACAGTGAAAGTAAAGAACCTGAGCTAGCGGGAATGGAGCATGGACTTGCACTGGTGCTGTCGGGGTCCGAGGGTGGCTATTGTTAGGCACGCAGCTTCCCCATTGATTTCCACACCGCGTGTTGCCAGCATGTTCAGGTCATCCACTATTGTTTGCAGCAGCGACTGCAAGGTCAGATTTGTATGATCGTCGTCGAACCAGTAGCTCTTCACTGGTAAGCTGTACAAAACATACCTCGATGCCTTGCTGTTTGTGCGGCACGGAGACAAATCGAACATCCTCAGCCACCATGGAAAAGCCCAGAAGCCCTATTTTCTTGAAAAGAAACGCAAAACAGAAAAGAGTTGCGTTTAGAAGCGCCAAAGCTCATTGTGCCAAACATCCACGAAGCAGAGTGACCCACAGAGCCCTCATCACCCCAGAGACAATAGGGAATTGTGGAAGAGAAGCGTGTAGGATCAGGAGGAAAATCCAGATTGCGGGCCATGACCTCCCAGTACTCTTCCAAGTTCTCTCTGCAGCCAAGTGCAGGCCCATAGCCCGTAGACAGCAGAGTTGTCACCTGGATATTTTCCCAGGGCCACAAAGATTCCTTCGAGAGGTTCCCAGCCCCAGCTACACGAAAAAATCTTAAACGATAGACAAGACTCAATCGTACTCGGTAAAATCAACGGCCATGATTCCAGCTGCATAGTGTCGTCATCATCATCCGACTCAAATAGCATCGGTACATTCGTCCATGAGATACGGAAAGGATGACCACACCCCAGGGATTGAACACGCTGATGAAATTCTGTTTCGCGCAAGCTTCTTGAAGGGTACCCGGACAAGATGTGGCTTCCATAGATTTCTCCTCAACGTCTAGAATTATCAGACATCATCACAAGTACCTTCCGAAGCCTACTTCGAAGCCCAGAAAAAGGCCCTGTAAAGGAAGATTCTTCACACAGGTTACTGGCCTCCAAGGTACCAAATTCACAGCCGGTGGAGATGTACAGTTGCCCCTCGCAAACCGACTCTGCAATCCTCAGCACAACCTATCATCATGATGATAAGCATACCCCATTGGAAAGCTCCAGAGTTGTTAAGGCCAGGGTGCAGGTTTTAGGCTTTAGGGTTAAGGGTTAAGGGTAAGGGCTTGCATGGGGTTTAGGGTTTAGGGTTCAGGGTTTAGGGTTTAGGGTTTTTAAGTGTAGGGTTTAGGGTTTAGGGTTTGGGTTTAGGATGTTGAGGATTGCCCCTGCTAAACCCTATAACTCTAAACCCTGCACTATAAACTCTAAACTCTAAACCCTAAACCGTTCAGGGTTTGGGATTTGGGGGCCCCTATCGACAGCCCAGGATCTTTTGATCCAACCGCCTGGAGATGCTTTGCGATGATGAAGGCCCATCTGCGACGGGAAGGGGTCCGGATCGAGGCTTGGGGACACGCAGTCTGCCGAATGCATGCAATGTATTATTTTCATCTCCAGCGCTTCACCCCGAAGCAAATCACAGCAGGTTCATGCCCACTTCCACTATTCGGAACTTTAAAGTAGTACGTGTAGGCCATGCCACACTTCAAGCCGCACAAAGCCCACAGCTGAACAAAAGCTGCCAGTCGACAAACATGTGCAGCCTCAGCCCCCACACAAAGCCTTCGTACTTATATAAGGGTAGGCCTTCAATTTGTAGCCACATAAGACTACGTAGCACCCTGTGCGGTCGCTGAGGCAACCCAGCACACATCACTGGACCACACTTCAGCCCTTCTTCTTGAGCTCCGAAATCAAGCCCTTGGCTTTGCCCTTCGTGATCTTCAACTCAGACACCTTAGATCAAGTGACCCAGTATTGTGCAATAACCCTACACAAAGCCACAAAGTTCCTGACTAACGCGACACCAGCCAAGAATCCAGTGCCCAAATCTCATTGCACAGCGGATCCATCTTGGCACCCGTGCTAGCACCCTTGAACCTGGAATTGAGCAGTAAAGAAAAGCAGGCCCCAGAGAACAAGAACGAACATAACCATGAACAAATATGATACCAGCAGCTTGCCCGCAAGCTTCTTGAGCTTGGACTGCTGCTGCTCCAGGATGGTCTTCAGGTCGTCGTTCTCGGGAACATCCACCAGCAGGCCGGCCAGCGCACCCAGTTCCTTCTTGATTTCGGCACCTTGCAAAGAGAACAGTACTACAGCCCTGAACCATACAAAAAACAACACCCTGCTGGCACTCAAACATACAAGTGAGTTCAGCTTAAATGACTCCAGCGGGTGTGTCGCTCTTCGTCTGTTCTGAACTGCTCTTCGTTCAGCGGTCTCTTGCTGGAGGATGACTTCGCCCCCGACTTCCTGGATGCAACCGAGCGAGCCCCACTTGGTCCAGCAGCTGGACCGGCACCTGATGCATCTAAAGGAAGTTTGGGGATTGCGTCTCGGGTTGGGTTTATAAGGGTTACAGGGTTAGTTAAGGGTTTAGGGTTTAGAGTTTAGCAGAGTCTGGATTCAAAAAAGGGTTTAATGTTTAGGGTTTAGGGTTTAGGGTCGACCGTACAACGTAGAGAATCCCAGGCACTGACTCCCGCAGCCTGTGACACTTCACTCTGGTAAGTGTCATATGCGCGAAGAACGTCACCACTAAGAACACTCGGGGTCGAAGCGCGTGGCCGTGCAAGCATTGTAGGATCATGCCCCCCACCCATGATGGCATCCACAGCGTTGGCCGTAGGCCGGGAATTGATGCTCAGGGACTCAGTGTGCCTAAGTGGTGCTTGTATCTAAATTTGGTATGCTGTCGGAGAACCCTCCCTGCTGCAGAACACAATTAAGCTTCATAAAGAAGAGCCTCGTGTCGACATAGTCGGTGTGGGATTCCTCGATGGTAACCCAATACCGAGTCTCTTCGGCGATCCCCGGCGCATCCCTGTCCTCGGTGTGTCTGCTAGTAAACGGAAAAACAACAAAAGTAACTTGCTTGCTCCAGGCCTCCACGCCTTGTCGGGTGCTAATAATGTATTCTATTTTCCTCCTTATTTGCACAGCGCTGCGTGAGGACAAGCATGCATGACGCACACGTGTACATGGGCAAACAAAAGCCCTCGAAGGAGTCAGATCAAGTGGCTGCGAAAACGAATACGGAGGTTTGCCCATATCTTTAACAGCCACGAGCGCCACCTTCCTGCGCCCGGCCACCCCCGTGCTGCGGGAAACGTTGATGGAATGCTCGCACTGTTGGAGGTTTTCGCCACTTGACACCCAACGGCGAAGAAGTTCGGCACGCTCCTGAAATATAGACAAGCGCACTAGTGTGCACATATTGCATGCTTGCGGTCATTTGAATCAAGCTTTCAAAGGGTCAGTTGGAACCAAGAAGCTTTGGTGGTACCATTGGCCAGCTTGTGCATGGAGGGGTAGGCTGCGAGGCCCTCTTCGGAATCCGCGATTCGCTTCTAAGTTGTGGGCACAACCTCTGTAATTAAAGTACTTATATAGCTTGCGCAACACGGTCTACCAACTGCAAACCCAAGGTTCCAATCTCATGTACTCCCTCTTGTGCGTTCTCGAGTTCACCAACAGGACAGGGACATCTGCATCGGGCACCGGGGCTGGGGCTGCTTCGGGTGCCAGGGCTGCTGGGCCTGCTTCGGGTGCCAGGGCTGTTGCACTTGTGGGTGGCAGGCCTGCTGAGGGTGCCGGGCCTGCTGCGGGTGGCTCAGCTGGTCGGTCTGTTGCCTCTGGCTCGGGGACACCCCACAAACCTTTGCGAACAGGGGCTTTGACGCTGGAAGTAGGGGCTGCCTTGGAGCTCGTGTGCCTTCTTTCTTGGGGCTTGGGGCAGGCAAAGCAGGCACATTCGGAGGATCGATTCTCAAACCCTTCACTTCCGCAACCTTCTTCTTCAGGGATTCAAGATCCACATTGCGGGCAGGGGTAGCAACGGGCTTCATCTTCGATTCGGCAGCTTTCTCCCTCACGAGGCTTTGTGTTGACAAGACTTCCTCACTGGCAGCCTCCTCTTCTTGCAGGAGATCACTGGCAAGCTCAGCATCCTCATCAGCAGAGTGCTCCGCATCCGTCACCTTGCCCGAGGCTAGCACAGGCATCTTGGATTGTGGGGTCTGGCTTGGTGCAGTCGTTCCAGGGCTTCCCTTAGGCATTGTCGAGGTAGCATCTGCGCTGATGCGGGCTTGTAGCTGCTGCACTATCGGGGTCACCAACGCAAGTAGCTGGGCATTGGTGGCATCGGGCCCCACTTGCGAGGCTGAAGCACCAAGCCTTGCATATGAAGCGGGTTGACATAGAAAGAAACCCCAAAATCACTCCCTAACATATGTTTCTGTCTGGTTTTGGAAACACACAGGGCCAGCTACCGAAACACAATGCATCCACAAGCGCAGCAACAGAGAGAGAGAGAGAGAGAGAGAGAGAGAGAGAGACACACACACACACACACAGAGAGACACAGACAGACAGACAGACGCACACGCACACACACACACACACACACACACACACCCACCCACCCAACCACCCACACAGACCAAGAACAAGAGACAGACACAGAGAGAGAGAGAGAGAGAGAGAGAGAGAGAGAGAGAGAGACAGAGAGAATTAGACAAAGAGAAAGATGGAAAGAGAGCAAGAGGAGAAAGAGGAGAAAGAAAGAGAGAGAGAGAGAGAGAGAGAGAGTGAGACACGTTAGGGTTGGATTAGGGGTTAGGGCTTAGGGTTAAGGGTTTCGGAATTAGGGCTTAGGGTCAGGGTTTCCAGTTAGGGATTAGGGTTTGTGGTTTAGGGTTACCCAGAACCATTGCACATCACCACAACCACAGACCCCAACCCGACCCTGAGTCACAAGTCGGCCCTCGAGGCCCCTTTAAACTCAACCTGGCGATTTGGGGGTTTGGGTTTAGGGTCGGTTGCCTCACAACTCAGAAGGTCAAACCCAGGAGCCTGTATCTAAAGGGACTAGGGGGCAAACCTTGAAGCCAAGGAACGACTCGATCAAATCGGACACCGACTGGCTGCCCTCCACCAGCGTGTCCATTTCCGCTGGGTCCCTTGCTGCCATGAGACCCATTTGCTCCTGCCCTGCCTCCAAGGAAGCACAAGACCTCAGGTAGAGTTGAAGAGAGAGAGAGATGCCTAATTTGGAGGGCCTGGGTTGTTCTTTGGTTTGGTTTATTTCTTGTAGAACATGCTGGTTCCAAAGCGAAACAAACCTGCTCAATCCCCCGACCTAGACACCACCCAGACCCAAGACCAAACTCCGGCTGGCGATCGTGGGGCCAACTCTCGCGCGGGGCCTTTGCTCTGGATGGGGCCTCGGCTGGGGCATGCTTGGACCTGTGTCTTGTTGTGGGCTCCATGAAGGTCTCTGCTTCCTTTTCCTTCTCCTCTTCCTTTGCCTCCGGCATCTGGTCGTCGATCTCATTAATCATCGCCTGAAGGTCATCAGCTTCATCCTCGCTGATGTAAAATTTCGGTCGGAAGTCTTCCGAGTAAAGGGAACCGTCGGCTTTGTCTTCTCCTGCCTCCTCAGCCTCATCAGGCACCATGTTGTCATCATCCTCGGCCAGATCCTCCTTGGCATTTGACCTTCTCATGCTCTCAGTCTTGGTTGTCTTGGCTTTCTTGGATTTCTTCTTTCCAGCTTTCCTCTTGCCTGGTTTTTTCTTTTGGCCTGCCTCTTCGACAGCATTGCTCTCGGCCTTCTTGCCTGTCTTGCCTGTGGCAGAGCTGGACGGTGTTGCTGGTGCTGGCAATGCTTCATCGGCGTGCTCCTCTTCTTCTGCGGGTGGGGCTTTGCGCTTCTTACGAGAGGTCTTCGGCTTTGGGTTGGGCTCGGCATTCTCGGCCACAGGCTTTGCTGGGGCAGGCTTCGCTTTGGGCGCCTTCCGTGTGGTCGTGGGGCTGCTGCTGCCTGCCACTGAAGAGGGCTCCTCCTCCTCCTCCTCCTTGTCTTTGTTTGGCTTTGATCCTTTCTTCTTGGGGGCAGCTTTGTTTCCTGGCTCCGACTTGCGCTTGCGGTCCTTTTTTGGGGGCTCCTTGGCCTCTTCTCCAGCATCCGTTTCCTCCAGGCTGGTCCGGCTCTTCTGCTTCTTCAGGACGCTTCTTGGGGGGGGAGGATCGCAGGCCTCAGCCGGCAGCTTACCTGGAGCTGGCTCGGTGACGCCTGCTTCTTCACGAAACCGAAGCATTACTTGAACTGCTTCCTCATATTTCAAACCCTCGTTCACCATGAGGTCCCCCAACGTAACCCCACAGCCCGCCACAAGCTCTTCGGTCCTAGCATAAGTAGCAGACGAGCTAGCTTCGGAGCTGGGTTTTTTCTTCTTCATGGCATTGTTCTTCTTCAGAAGATCACCAATCCTGCGATTTCTCTCACTCCCAAGTTCCGAGGCACCACCAAGCGCCGGCTTGCTGTGGCTGGGAGCCATGATTCCGAGACTTGCCCGGGCAACAGGTGCTTTCTGAACCTAATGTTCTGCAAACCAGGCCCAGGCAATCGACAGACTAGCTGCGCAAAGCTTCTCCTATTCCATTGAGAAATCACAACAGCAGATCTTGAACATCTAGAGGCTGGACAATTTTCACGTATTTCACCGGCCAAATCCCCTACAGAAGCCAAGTGTATGGCCCGATCCAGGGACCGAATGCATATCTGCAGCTAAAATCGAATTAGGCAGCCCAACCTCTCCAAAACACCTCTGGTTTCGAGAAAAATGCCGTTCACGGGGTTCACGCTGTTTACCTTGCTTTGCCCGCTGGCTAGCTTACAAAGCACGCGGTTTCACGCTAGTTGGGCTGCCTTGAATTAAGCAGGTACAAAGCCAACCCTAGTAGTCCACGTAGCAAAAACCTCAATCTAGGAACCTTTTGGGTCATAGGCGTTGGAAGAGCAAGGCCAACAGTTATGAGGAGCCATTTGTGTTGCAAAGAAATGCTATCTAGGAATCAATGGTGGCAGCAACAACTGCCTTCACCAAGGCCGGCAAGCCTTTCAGGCGTTCCTTGTAGAACGATGGTCCTCCATGTTCGGCAATCATGTACCTGGGTCAACCCAGCAGAACATTCATCCAAACACCTGCAAAGCCTTCAATACACAACAAGCCCAAAGCATTGGAAACACCGGCTGTTCGGTTGCCAGGGCAATGAGGGTTTAGTGTTTATAGGGTTTATAGGGATTATATAGCGACTTTTGGGTTTACCGGGTAATTTAGAGGGTTGAGAGGGTTTAGGGGATTTAGAGGGTTTACATGGTTTATAGGGTTTGTAGGGTTTAGCGCTTAAGGTTTATAAGGGTTTGCCCTAAAGATTCCTTTTTGCCCAAGGACAGGTTGCAGAAGGCTTGAAAAGATTTGGAGGCAAGGTCAATTCAAATCCTGCACAGAACTGTAAAAGGTCCAACAACCCTAGAACACCGTTTCGGGCTTTGGGTCTAGGAGAAACCCTGTCTAATGGGTGGCTCGTGCAGAGACAATGTTTTCCGAGTTTCGGTTGTGCTTCCCAGGACTTTTGTTTCAACACCAAGTGGATCACAAAGCGCAACCAGCTTCACATAGGCAGCCAGGCTTCTTGCGAATTTCAAGAATCATGGGTTCCTCGGCTGAGGGTTGCTAGACCAAAACAAAGCAGAAACAGCGAGCTGCTGTAGTGACTGCTACTGCAAACGGCTCAGGATTGGACACTGCGACTGCGGCCCTTTTGCTCTGCGCGGCAATGCAGCTCTCATGCAGGATGCAAGGACTGGTTCGGTCTACGGTCTACTGGGTTTCCATAGCGATAGGCTTCTCCGGTTTCGCAGCAAACTTGCTGGTCGGCTTGAGTCTTTTCGAGGGTCGTGGTGCAGTAGACATCTGGAGCCTGTGCTTTGTCAAATGCCCTTCAGGCACAGTGCAAACAGGTTTGGCACACTTATCGTCTTTCAGCTCGATGTTGTTCTTAGACCCCTCGGTCGGCCCAGGGATGTTGTTCTCGAAACCTGCACTCATCTTGGCAGCATCAGGCCATGAGGGCTTTGATGAGGGCTCTGATGTTTTTGCAAGATGCAGCATCCAGCTGACCAAGCAAGCCCGGGACATGTGCAGCAGCGTAAATGAGCAGCAAAGCTAAACCTTGAAGCCAAATGTTATCCAAATGCATCTTGCGTACTGAAGCAGGAAAAGCTTACCAGGCAGAGGGTAAGTGAGCATGAAGAACACAAAGAATGAAACAAAACAAGCCGAGAATTTCGAGAAAAACAGCAGCCGGAACGAGAAAACACCGTGAAATTCGAGAACGGCAATTTAAACAAAGACAAGAACACCCGAGAAAAACGAGAACGGCCATTTTATCTGACCAGAAGCATGAAGGTAGTACTGCGCAGTTCATAATTCAAAGCTGCTATGGCTGACCCCTTTGT